TATCAAAATAATGTAAAACTTTCCAGATCACAACTAGACATAGAAACATTAAAGATGTCAAAATTTGATAAAAATTAGGGTTAAGGAAGCGTATCAAAATAGAAACCAAAACAGACTAGGCTGCATAATGTTCTTTTTTTTCAGGTTTGTACACTTTATTTTGAAAAATCACCAAAATTACAATTTACAACCAAACTGGATAAAAATTTCCAGATCTGAAGAAAATACGAGAAAGTAAAACATACTAAAATTTCATGAAAATTCAAGTTTAGGAAGTTTTCAAACACTCACTTCAAAACAGGGTATGTAGCAGAATCAAAACAATTCCAGCAGGATAGTCTCTACTTTGAAATTTCACAAAAAAATCAATTTAAATTCAAATGGCACAAAACCAACTTTGAAATAACCCTTGAGATATTCATTTTGATGTAACAAAACCCCAAAATGAAATTGGAACAAAAATCACATCAAAATAATCTAGAACTTCACATATATATATATATCCTTGAGGCATTCCAACCAAAACTTAGTTTAAAACTAGCACTCAAAGAGACAATAACAAGATGAGCTTCAAGACTTCAAAGAATCATTTACTTGAGATGATAGTGGCTAATTTGAGCAATTGAATGATAAGGAACAAGCCATTTGAGAGAAAGTACACATATCTATAACAAGAGATTCAACATAATCAATTGAACAAGTTTTGTTCATACCAATTTTTAGAGAGTTATAATGATTGCGTTTGGATGATCTTTGGATATGTTATAAAGAGAAGAATTTGGAGTAACTATCATGAAGAAACCATAGTGTTTTGATATTTTGAAATGAGTGTTTTGGACTGAAAACGAGGGAAGAAAACTAAGGTCGAAGACTATAAACAGGTTCCACTCTAAACATTCCCAAGGTGGCTATAGAAGTCCGATCAATCTGATATTTTGATATGTTATAATAGACAGCATTTCAAACAACTTTGATGAAGGAACCAAAGTCATTTGAGTACAGGAAATCACAGAAACAAACTGAAACCGAGTATACTGCTGTGAAATCAGGAAATGGTAAACTCATTGTGATCAAACCAACGTTTCAGAGCCTATACTAGTCGGATTGAGCTGAAATTTGAGTATGTTATAGGAATCACGTAAATGAACAACTTTTATGAAGAAAGTTTTCTCATTTAAGCTTCCAAAATTTGAGTTCTCGGCTGTTCCAAGGAAGTGACGAATTTTGGATTTTGAAGAGGAACAAAAGAAAAATGAGGATGAAGATAAGTGAATGAGGAAGAAAGGATGATACAATGAATGATGAGGATAAGAGTGAATTTATGATTGAAGAGCCTTAATTAGAATAGGTGAGTCATCCATTTAGAAGAGGGTGATAATACAATGAATGGGAAGAAGAGGATAAGAAGAATCTTAGGCTAGACTAGGTGACTCACTCACTATAGGTTTACAACTCATCCCAAAAATCAAATTTTTTGAAGAAAAAGTAAGTGGGAAGGGGGGGAAGAATGAAGGAGGGAAGAAATGCTTGGCTTACACGTTGCCTCCTTCTTCTTTTTTTCTACAAGGGTATTTTGGTAATTATCCACACCTAGGGGTATTTTGGTCACGTTTGTCCAACTTGAAATTAAACATACTTAATTTAATAATCTCAAATCCAAAATCACTTGATAAAATACCCACAATCATTCTCCACAATTATTTTATTATTTTTCACTAAAATATGAAAATTCACCTTGAATTTTTCGGGGTATTACAGGGCTATGGTGTTTATAGCTTGGAAGAGTATAGGGATGAAGAAAAAGCTTGGAGTTATACTTGGTGAGGCTTTGTAGGGAAGATGGAGGATTTCAAGGATGAGAAAGTAGAAGAAATGGTTGTGATAGCCGAGGAATGGCTGGGATGGCTGCTAGAATGCTTGCAACAGCCGAAGGGAGGAAGAAAGGTGGTCTGATGGTTGCTCGGGTGCTTGAGCAACCAAGATATGTTGGTCAATGGTTGTTGGGATGCTTGCAGCAACCAAATGATAAAGGTTAATGGCTCAGAAATGACTGTAATGGCTACTGGAATGCTTGTAGCAGCTGAAGAAAGGTAAGTTCTCCTGGTTGCTGAGAGGCTTGCAGCAACCAAGAGGGGTTAGTTTTGCCTGGACAATGCCTCCAAATTTATAGAAGGTGAAAGCTCTCTTTAGTTTCCAATATGTAAAAGGAAGTGTTGGAGCTAGTCTATTTCCAATGGGTATAAGGGAGCATTAGAGAACTCCAAGTAATGGGCTTGGACTTTGGTGCTCCCAAGTAGCTAGCCCAAAGTCTCCATTATCCAAGAGCTTCCGTAGGCCTTATGGACCTCCGTAACCTTTTACACCAGAATCCCTCATGCAATCCCCGTAAACCACATGACTTGGGTTTATGTGAGCTTGGTAGATGATTGGCATAGAAAAAATGTATTATTAGTTTGGCATGACATGTACACTATTTCTATATTTATTTAATAAATTAATTCTCAAAATACAGCTTGGATTAATGCATGATCAACATTATATGTTATATTGGGCTTTAAATGTCATTGAACTTCCTGTGACTTTTTTGGGTCTCAACACCATGCAAGTAATTTGCATAGTTGATTGACACATATATTAAGGAATTGTACTTATGCTAACCACGTTTTGGGAAATGAGCGAATTCCAGGGGGACTCTGCCAAATTTTCAGCAGGAGTCAAACTTGAAGAAAAGAATTTTGGGAAACTTAGAAGGGCATTTTGGTCAAAAGTGCCCGGCACTTACCAAGTGTCGGACACGCACAGGGTTCAGCTCAGATTCAAGTGGAATTTGGGTCGAGTCCTGTCAATTAGGTTACCTAACTCATGACTCTGATGCCCCAGATTCCATAGATCCACAATTTGGAAAGTGGAAAATTGATGACTCTACCGTGAAAAGTTGGATGATGCGCACTATAGAACCTAGTTCGTTGAATATGTTTCATACTTACCTACTATCGTGTCCACAAGGTTTCTGTGTTCTGCCTTATCTACTCTCATGCTCACAAGGTTTCTGTGTTCTGCTTTACCTATTGTCTTGCTCACAGGGTTTCTGTGTTCTGCTTTACTTACTGTCGTGCTCACAGGGTTTCTGTGTTCTACTTTTATGTGTTCTTCTATGTGCCCTGTTTGTTATGGTTTGTCAGTTGTTTCACTCTTGGTTTATGACAAGGCCTTCTCTACAGTTGTTCAATTGGTCAATGTTGAGTATGGTATTCTACGACTCGCTTGTCAAGTTGGGCATGCGAAGTAATAGAATATTTAATCTCCAATATATATGTATATCTGAACCTAAACTAGGTGAACCAAGAAAGCAACTAATATTATTTATATATATATATATATATATATAATTACTATAATTTAATACTTATCAAAATAATTACTTTAAAAAATATAATTTAATGCAACCATCGATGTATAAGATATAGCACTCCCACCCAAACTATATAAACCCCCACATTTTCTCCATTCATGACTCCCCCTGCAATAGAACACTTGCAACCTTTTAATTGGGTCAAGGATATTCAATTTCTTTCGCAGTTTTGGTTTACCCAAAGTACGCACCACTCTATAGAACATTTTTTATTTTACCGAGTATAGCCGCTCGGCTATACGATTTATTCATAAATTTTATTTTATTTTTTAAATTTTGATTATCGGGGATGCGAGCTGCTGTCGAAATCATAGAGAGAAGCCCAGGTCGTTGAGGTCAAGCGCACACCCACAGGCGTCAGAACTCATAAGGCCATAGCGTAACGTCATAACCCAGTTTCAAAAACAATCCGTCAGCTTTCTCGCTTTTTCTGCGCCCAGCTCTGCTCAGTACCATCGCCAGCAAATCACCCCCCTATCATCCAAGTTTTGCCAGATTGTCTCCACAGGGTCTCGTAAGTACCTTTCATTCCTCTCTCTTCTCTTCTTAGTTTGGGTATCAATTTATGAATTTGATGCCACTCGTTGCATATAATTTGTACGCTATGATTGATTTCTCTACCCGTTAAAGATTGAATTGTTAATATTTACATTGGGCATGAAATATATCTCAAAGGGTGTGTTGGGCAATTTTATGTTGGGGTTTTGCATGAAATTTGATCAGAACTGTGTATGAATGTTGTTATCTTCTTTGCATTGTCTGGTTTTCGATAGATGAGAGACCGTAATTTTGAGCATAAGGTGCAAGAAATGTGATACATTATGGGACTTTTTCCATTGATAGGGTAGAGGTTCTTCATTTCTTCTCTTATTTCTTGTGATTCCTACCTACTCACAAGGAAGTACATTTTTCTATTTAGGAAATTTGGTTTCTGTTAACCTGCAGATTAATTATGAACAGTTTATATGGTGGGCGCTATAATGTGGTATCCCACGGTTTTCAATGGGAAAATATCTGTTAAGGGGAGTATTATTCGCACTCCCTATCGTCCTCCTGTATTCCAGCGCAGGATTGGTGTGGCGGAGTGCCTAGTAAAAGTCAAAGAAAATTTCATATATCAGCAGATAAATCATGATTACTATGAAGTTGGAATTGAGGCTCTATTGAGTTCGGCTGAGTGGATTTGTTGAAACGAAGAAGAGAGTATCTGTAAGGCTTTCTCATTAATTGATGACGGAGCTCTGGTCTATTCTAGTATTTGATCAATAGTGTGTACATATTGTTTATACATTTCTAGTTTATCTGTTGTGAAGGTTATGCAATTGCCTATGTTTGCTACTTCCTCCATTGTTGGTTTGTTCTTGAGGTCACTCTTGTTTCTCTTGACAGGCTGCCGAGTTAATTTATCTTTAGGGAAAATGGGTGTCAAATTTCTCAAAATTCCTGTAACGCAAACGGATTGTTCAATTCAAATATCTGGTTGCAGTCCCTAACTTCTGTAATAATATAATTGTATTTATCACCAGTCACTGGTTTTATTATCTTTGAAAGCTTCTGGCTACTTCGAATATTTTATTTTTTAGTTTTCGCTAAGGCAGCTACCTGCATTTCAGGGCTCAGTGAATCACCATTGAACTTTGCTGTGGCCATAGGGATTATTAGACAAGGATGTCTGGGAGACGAAAATTTCTGTCGTCTTTTGAGCGACGTCCCATTCAATCTCCAGGTATGATGCGGCATGGTCCATTGCCTGGGTTAGGGCCTCCTCCTGGTCATCGATCATTTGAGGCACTACCACGTCCTGAACTTTTGGAAAATAAAATTGCATATCAAGCAGCAGAGATAAAACAGTTGACAGGAGACAATCATAGACTGGCAGCTACTCATGTTGATTTGAGGCAGGATCTTTTAGCTGCTGAGGAGGAAGTACAGAGACTCAAGGCACACATGAGAAGCATCCAGACTGAGAGTGACATTCAGATGCGGGCTTTGCTTGATAAGATTGCAAAAAGGGAAGCAGACATTGAAGCTGGCGAGGGTGTGAAAAAGGAACTGCAAAAGGCTCACATGGAGGCACAGACCTTGGTTGCAGCACGACAAGAGCTGACCATTCAAATTCGGCAGGCCACAGAGGAGTTGCAGAAAGCTCGTCTTGATGTTGAGAAACTACCGGGTTTGCATGCTGAACTGGACAGTCTGAGGCGAGAACACCATAGGCTGCGGTAAGTCAATCTACCTTTGAAGCTTACTTTGAAGTCTATTTGCCTATCTCCTAGTGAAACCCATAGAAACCTTTTCTAACTCTGAAGCTTAATGTAAGTCATGAAACCTTTTCTCTAGCTTTATCGGCAATTATTGCCACTGTGCTTATGCAAACGTAACAAATAAAAGGTGGCAATATCTTTTGTACTTATCCTCATTCCAGATATAGGACTCTTGACAATTTTTATTCCCTTCGATAATATAAGCTAATGATTGATTAGTCACACATACAAATTGTAATGAATTATTTCCAATCTGTTCAGCTATTGGGTGGTTCCATATTTACATTTCATTGTGTTGTTCTGTCCAATTACTTTATTAGAGTTTCCACCGAATTAACCGTATGATGCCCACAATATGTATGTTGCTCAACTTTAGATCACAGTTCCCGTGTTTCTTTGTTCATTTTTTGGGTTCCTTTTGTGATCCATTTTGAAGTTTTAACTTGATTTCTGATGCTCTAAATCTTTTGCGTGTACAATACAGTTCAACTTTTGAATACGAAAAGGGTTTAAACATAGAGGAAGTGGAGCAAATGAAAGCAATGGAGAAGAATCTAATTGGGATGGCAAGAGAAGTAGAAAGGTTGCGTGACGAGGTCTCAAATGCAGAGAAGAGAGCCCATGGTAATTTTCTGTCTGTCTATCGTTTTGGCACTTTAGATGGCTTTTGTTCTGATACTTCTGATATTGAATTTAGCACCAAACGCACGTGCTGGCGGTTACACAAATCCAGATTCTTATTACCCAGCTAACATGCAAGGTGATGGTGTGTATTTTGATGGTTATGGAAGGCCCTATGTTTCAACCAGTGTTAGACCACCAGGAGAGGGAACAATACCATATGCCAGCAGCAGCGGCATAGCTGCAGTTGTCCCAACTGCTGGTGGTGGTGCTATTTGGGGAGCAGCATATGATCCCTCACTGGACACTGCTGCTGCTGGCGCAGCTGTCTCTAATGCTGGGCTTGGATCTGCTCCAAGAGGCTATGATTCTACGCTTTCTCGGTAGTGAATACAGGATGAGGCCTGAGGTTTTCAGGGCTTTAGGCGAACTATTAAAATGGAGCGTATATTTACTCACATAAGAAAATATGTGTGGCATTTTGGAGGGATTTTTCTTTTTTTGTTTTGTTTTGTTTTGTTTTGGTTTGTGTAGTAAATCAAAGGAAACTTTTGCCATATAGGATTATTAAGTATTTAAATGATGGGTGTAATCCAATGTGAGAAGACCAAAGTACTTGTTATGCTTACTTACCTGAGCATGTCCGAAGAAGACCAAAATACATGTGCCTTTGGTTTTATTACTTTTTTTTTTCTCTCTATAGTATGGACAATGTTTCTCATCTCATGGAAAATTTGAAGATAAATTATTTCTGAAAATGGAAATACACGATTTCTCGTTAGAACATCAAATCTAATGGTGGAAGCAAGTCTATAGCTCTGTGGTGAGAGCATTTGCCTACAGAGTAGTGGTCTCATGTTCCAACCCCAATGATACCTTTTCGCCTTCTCGCTTTCCAAACTTTGACAAAAAAAAATGGTGCAAGTAATATTTGAAGGATTGATTTATTACCCTTACAAAGGATCTGACTAAAGGAGAATCTTACCTTTATGTATTCAAGTGTACTTTTCATCCTAAATTGTTGTCATAATTAAAATGAACGTTATTGTGAACGATACCACAGGTTTGACAACATCAAATTTACCAATAGTTTTGAAAAAGTAAAAACACAAAATGGTACAATAGAGACTCGGATAATGGCCTAATAGTAATGGATAATGCTCTAAACTATCTTTATCAATAAACAAAAATCAGGGAAAAACAATTGAAAAAAAAGATATCAGTGTCTAATGTAAAGAGTCGGCTATACTACGTGTAAAAAATAATATAGCTGGTTGGCTATAATGTTTTTTATATATTAAAAAAAAAACAGTAAAATTACAAATAATATAGCCGGGCAGGGTGTAAAGCTGTAAACTATTATTTAAAGGCATTATCTGGATCGATTTATAGCAAAGTAGATTCCTTTTATTGTCTTCAACTATAGCTTTGGCCGCAAAATTACAAATAAAGCTGATGCCAAACTAATAAGATCAACGAATATCTGCTTAATTAGTTCCTTTTTAGCATCTAATTAACTGATTAAACTTGAATTGTCCCCTTGGAGTGGAACAATTAGTGGCAGCAGGTAAATCAAATCATTCTAATTAATAGTTTTTCTTTATATATGTATTGCATTTTAAAAGCTTGGAGTGGAACAATTAGTGGCAGCAGGTAAATCAAATCATTCTAATTAATAGTTTTTCTTTATATATGTATTGCATTTTAAGGAAGAGCTGTGGCTTTTAGGCAGTTGGAGTTAAAAAATGGCATTGGAACTTTATGTCAAATCATGTGACGGGCATTTCCGAGAAAGTCTTTCCATCTCACATCCTCACAAGACAGGACAGGACAGGACTGTTAGCCGCCGTCTCCACTCTAATTCTTCCAAGTACTAGTGGAGTTTGGTCGGTTGGATTATTGTGGGATGAATTGTAAACCAAGATATTAATTAACTGATCAAATTCCCCCCATCTTTGTGATATTTGATTTAACTGTTGCACAGTGACGGTCCTCAATTTTTCAGGCCCGGGGCAAAAGTAAAAATTAGGTTTAGGGTTATACTATTTATAACAAAAACCATGGTATAGCAGTGTGGCTGTATGCTTTAAGAATATTGTATTTAACAAAAGTCTAGCCGCAACGCTATACTATTTATTGGAAAAAAAAGTAAAAGAAAATGACCCTTCTAGTTACATTCGTTTATATTTTATTGATATTAATGTGCTAGTTTCGACATCTCCAAGGCAGATATTGAAGAGAGAGAAATTTCACAGTAAATCAATTTGAGAGTTCAATTTTTTCTTCTTCTTTCTTTGTGGGAATGTTTGCCTTTGGTCTACCTCGTTCTCTCAAGTGCTACTAAATTATGTTACTATAAACATTATTTGTTGTAAAGAATTGCACGCTGAGTTGGAGTGTTCTTGGTAATTACTTCACATTTCAAACAACACTTTACATGAAGAATACTACCACCTCGCTTACTACTAAACCTTTGCAAAATCACCATCTTGCATTTTTGTTACAACAAGTAAGAAATAATCTTAGCCTCTCACATTCTTCGAATTAGTAAAATACAGAACGGGAAAAATATGAAAAAAAATACGTACATGTTTTATTCGGCAATATTTTGACAAATTACAAATGAAAAGTTCGGCCACTATAAAATATTTTAATATGATTTATTTAATTTTTTTAATACATATTATTTAAATTCAATAATATACGAAAATTATATGTATAATACTTGAATTTTGTGTGTATAATTGAAAATTTTGTAAAAAACAAGTGTATTAAACATGACAAATATGTATGTATGTGTATAATACAAGTATTAAAAGTGAAAATACTAAATTATTTATACGAGTATGTATGTGTATAATACGAGTATTAAAAGTGAAAACGCTAAATTATTTATACGGGTAATAGCTCTGGAAAAGTAAAAACTCAAAAGGGGACAATAGAGACTCTGATAATGCCTAATGGTAATGGATGATGCGTTAAATTACCCCTTTCAATAAACAAAAATTGGGGAAAAACAATTTTTTTAAAAACCATATAGCCGGGCGGCTATACGTTTTTCTTAAAAACCGCCGAGTATAGCTGCCCGGCTATACTATTTGTTTAAAAAAAACCCGCCTGCACCTAGCGGCTATTTCGCCACGTGTCAAAAATTGTATAGCCGGGCAGCTATACTAAAATCGTAGTATATCCGAGCGGCTATACTATTTTTATTATAAAAAATTCGAGTATAGCCGCTGGCTATACGATTTATATATAATAAAAAAAAGGACCCGCCTGGCGCAAGCCTCCATTTCGCCACGTGTAAAACAATAGTATAGCCGCGCGGCTATACTATTTTTAAATAATAAAACCGTAGTATAGCCTATTTTTATTATATAAAAAATGGAAGTGTAGCCCCGCGGCTATACTATTTTTATTATATAAAAAATCCCGGCTAGACGCTTAATAAAAGAGAAAGAGAACCCGCATGCGGTTTGTGTTTGTGTATATGAGCTTGTATTGTCTTCAGAAATTATGTACCAATTTGAAATGAACCCTATAATTTAGGGGTTTTATGAAGTTAAAGAAAATAGAGAGGAAAAAAGATAAAGCACTTGCCAAATATACCATTGACAATAACCTTACGTGGCGCTAGAGAATTAATCATCGGACGAAGGAACCGGAGAGGAGCTCAGCCCACCTTCATTTCATATATTCGCCATCTCCCGTTCACAAATCCTCCAAATCTCGCTCCTCTCTTTCATCCGTTAAGTCTTCAGTCATGGCCGAGGTTACCTTCTTTTCTCTTCTCCCTTTGATCTATCTGTATGTATATGGTTATGACTTCTGTTAGAATTCCAGAATTTTGTTTATTTATTTATTTTTTTTACGAATCTATCTCCGTTTGACTTTATTTTTCAATACTGTGCATTGGGTTTTCGTTACAAAAATCAAAAGTTTATGAATATTTCCGTTTTTCAAATTAATTCATTCGAAAAGTATTCCGACGAAGATTTCTGATTGATTTTTATTTTTTTGGGCAACATTTTCAATGGTGGGTGCAAACGTAGCATATATTTTCATATTACTGATGAGATTTTCCTTTATTAATTTTTTTATTATAAAAAACTCCTTATTTCCTGAGTAAAAAGAAGATTCAGGTTTTGAAATTTGATTATGGAGGATAATTTCAATCTGTATGGGTCATTTAATTTTGTTTAGCAGTATCAATCAATTGGATATAATATTTGTTCTGCCTGTTCATGCCCACTCTAAGAGAATGAATGTCTTTCGAAAATTGTGTGTTTCATTTTCTAAATTCGGTTATGAGGGTAATTATAAGGATTAACCAAATTCTGCCAATGTTCGACAATATTTAGTCCAAAATTTCCATTGGTGTGACTTTAAAAAAAATTTATAACATGTTTCTTGCTCATGCAACTCATTCCAATTTACCGGGCTGTTCTGTGTTCAGAGATTCGAGTTTGTCTCTTTATGTCATGTGAACAAGTTGTCACTGATTGAAAGTAGTACATGGACTTTAATGTATTTATGTGTTTTGATGGATGACATATTTGAAGATGTAAAATGTGGGGCAAGCGTTAAACTCATATTGATCTAGATCGCAGAGTCCAACTTAGATGGAGTTATATTTTATGGGGTTGATTTGTTTTGTAACTAAAATGATGTATTTGCGCCCTTTTATTTATGTCAGCTATTTGTCACATTTTGTTTTCCTCACATGAACTTTTCTGCTATGCTATCTCAGATTGAGCTGAAAACTGCACCTGCTGATTTTCGATTCCCTACAACAAATCAAACTAGGCACTGTTTCACGCGTTACATTGAGTTTCATAGGTAGTTATTCGAACTTTAGCACATAGTAGCTTGACAGTAAACTATTAATTGAGATTTTTTATTTATTTTGAACATGTCAAACTAATTGCAGGTGTGTGGCAGCAAAGGGTGAAGAATCTAATGAATGTGAGCGATTTGCCAAATATTACCGCTCTCTTTGCCCGGGTGAATGGGTAAGTACTTCTTAGCTTATTGTATTGTCCAAGAAACCTAAAATTTGCTCATGCCTTTTAGGATACTCCCTATCTACTGTATTCTTATGGCACAGAAGTTTGAATAAGAGCTTCATGTACCTAAATTTATGAAATATAAAGAGGAAAAAAAGAAAAAGGAAGACACCCTTGTCTTTTCTAGTCCTGTTTCACTGTAATTTGATAAAAGAAATTTTGCAATTATGGGGGAAAAGCTCTTGCTAGAAAAATGTCCAAACTGCAAACTTTACAATTATTAGGAGAACAAGTTTGAAGGTTAGTATGTGTTTGAAATTAACTCATTCCACATTCATATTAGATTTTTGTCATACAATTGTCCTCTTGTTGTTAACTTGC